GAGAGTTAGAATATTGGAATAATATAGCAAATCCCAGTTTTTTCTAGCAAAGAGTGAGAGCTCCTGTTTGTCTTAAGGTTTGTCTTTGATTGTGATCCGAGGGTGCTACTGTAACACAGATAATATGAATTAGATAAGCATCAAAGAAAAAGGTTGGAAATCTGTGGTACTAATGGATACTGCACAATAAATCTGATGTGATTTGTCTCTGCTCTTCACTAGTTATTTGTTTCATCAGCTACTTTTTTATCCAGTTTAACTCCTGTTAGTTTGTCTCATTTACCTACTGTACTAAATTTGGTTTATTTGAAAGATGCAATCTGCGAAGAAGTGCTGTTGCCTAGTGTTTATTTGGGTTTACTAAAGCTTAATGCTGTGAGACTTGAAGGTAAAAAATAAAGCTGTTGACTCAGCACAGATTAAAACCAGATGTCTCTTGAGATCCCTGCATTTCTCTCTAATCACTAACCCAAATTGATTGTGGTAGATTTTTTTTTTTTTTTTTCTGGTCATGGCCATAGTTTTACCAGTCTGTGTTTAGTGTGATCTGACTCAAATGCATGGTATTTTTTTTTTTTCCTTCTGTTGTGATTTTAAATGCATGGGGATTTTTTACCCCAGGAATATCTAGCTGTAAACCAATTTTTTTTCATCACTCCTTCCCACCCCATTTGTATTACAAACAGTGATTTAGATTCAGATTCTTTTAAATCTTCAAATCAGGTAAAAGGTTGGAAAAGTGGATAAATGAGGTTTGGAAAACCATGGGTTGAAGAGATGAGAAGCCATTGCATTGTGTTCAGTCCATTAAAACAAGAAGAAATAGAAGAGATACTTTGATAAGTGTTCTGCTGGTGTTAACCTTGATGGCTATTATCGGGGGGATGATGCTATATCTATTTCATTGGCTTAAGCTTTTTTCATGCTGAGAGAAATCAATACTTGGAGTCGTTGGATGACAGAGGCATCACTTCAGAATTGACGGTGGCTGTCAGACGTTGTCATTGGTTGACTTTTGTTCGCTGTTGAGGTTTTAAGCTTTCATTTTTCTAAGTCTCGTTCAGGAGTCTTTGTAAGATTTCCCTGGGTAGCATTTTTAGGCCAGACTTTAAACCTCAGGTCAGAGGTCAAGTGCAAAGATCTGTGAAAGCAGAGGATTGAGGAGCTCCTTCATTTACTAAAATATCCTTATTTGTAGGGAATTTACATTAGTGGCAAGACTGTGTGTTATCTTATGGATGACTTTTCCTCTTAAGTGATACCCTCTGAGACTGGTTGTTCACAAAGCCAGTAGCTTTTAGCCAAATTAAACAAAGGAGCTGGCATATGTGAAAATGTTTGGCGATATCAGGGTTGAAGAGTAAAAGTAAAAACGTGCAACCTTTCTTTTAATAACACTACACTGTTCAACTTTTTAATTGCTTGTAGAAAGCATTACATTGTGATTTTGGGACTGCAGTGGTGCACAATGCAGATGGTTCAGAGGAAGTCTTTCACTTGACATTTTTGTAAAGATCAAAGATAAAATATTTCTGAAAACAGTAGATTAATCCTCCTCTTCACTGAAATACAGACAGTCAGAATACTGACACCCTGTCAGTATTTTGCAACAGTATTTCTGGAATATTTCCTGCATGCAGGAAATACTGTGTTTTCATGTCTATAACTTGCCTTTTGGATGACTTTGTGCTCCTTTAGAATTACAGTTCCTTATAAATGAATCTTCACATAACATGCATGTTCAAATAGCCTGCAGCCTTGTCCAAGCAGGGAACAGGAGAGAGTTAAAAAAAAATTTTCTGCAATAACAGCAAAGATGAGGGTTTTGTTCCATCCTGGTAGGAAACGAGGGTATTCCATGCTGTATCAAAGGATTCTGCTTCATGCACTTCCCCTTTGTAAAACTTTCCACAGTCACTTAATTTCAGACTTTTTGGAGATATCCTGTGAGGTGTGTATATGAAAATACATATTTTTCTCTGTTCAACACTTTGTTATTTCATGTTTGAGTGCACTACTTTTGCGATTTTAGTTTCATTGCAAACTTGCCCAAACAGGTAACAGAAATTATGTAGGCATGCAACTGTGTATCTTAATTGTAAAAATATTAAATGGTAAAAAAAAAGAAAGTAAAAATTAATTGTAAAATTACTTAAAAATTAATTTTAAAAATATTCAGGCGTGAGAGGGTGCATATTGCAAGTGCAAGAGATTGAACAGTGGAGAGGAAATAAAACTGTAAAAATATATTTTTGAATTTGTTCACAAACAGAAACCATTACATCAGTGGATTGAGACTTAGTGCTAAGTATTAAAGGTACCACTCTATATCCTGGTGTTGTGTCTTTGGAAGGAGTGAATCAGGTGAACCTGACATCTAGAAAATGAAAAAATACAGTAGAGAAACAGAATCTTTTTAGTACTTTCAGAACAGTTTAATTGTGACTGGCTACTTTAGGATGGATCTTCTTCTGGTTTTTTTTTTTTTTTTTTTTTGGTGGAACCAGTCTTCTCTCACTCCTACATTAAAAGTATTTGAGAGAGGGAGGGGGAGAAATAGCTTTTGTTTTGGTGTATATTTGACCTATATTGAGGGTAGGAGCCACTGAACAATTGATGGGTCACCTGTATGATCAAAGAGAAGATTATTCTTGCAGAACTTTCTTAGAATTAGTGACTATATAGGCACCTGAGAGATATTTGGGAGAACTGTGGTTTCTTTCTATTCTCGTTTATAAAATATATATTGTAAAGAGTGTGCAATGGTTAAGAGTTCCTCCTGGAGTGATGTTATAATTTTACGGGATTGCTGCATGTGTGAGTTTCTCAGTTTTGGTGTATAATTGCAAATTTCTACTCACACTAAATGCTGAATTTCCTGAAAAGTGGAGTTATATTTCCATTTTATAACAGGCTGGTTATGTTTTCATTCAAGGTGTCAGGACAATAAAATACCATTTTTTTTCTCCATTTGTTTGTCACAGCTACATTTTGAAAATCTTTGTTTGTATTTAATGAAGGATGTGTTCAAAATTACATTATAAAGAGACTTTTTTTTAAGAGGTACAAGTTCATTATATCTTTTACAAAACATTCGAGTTTGATTTCCATTTTATCATGTTTTAAGGTCAAATGTGACTTTAATGTTCCATAAAGAGACAGAGATTGATAATGGGGAAAGAATAACCCTCTAATGTGATTTATATCTATGGATTTTATGTCAGATATGAAAAGTTGCTGTTCAAATTGTAAAGGAGGATCCATTAAAGAGCACTTTAAAACATTTTACTACTTAGCTTGCCTTATACACTTGTTTTTAGAATTCTGCCCTTTCAGGCAACTTAAAAATAACAGCTTATGAAACATTTACAAAGTGCTAAAAAGAACTCGTGATCATCATGGGTGCAAAATAGATTGATGTATTGGAAAAGACAGCTGGAAAAATCTTGTTTAGTCTTGGTTATGGTTTAGCCATCTCATATTTTTGTAAAGTGGGGTAGCAGAGTGCTTCGCTTAGGGGTGTAAAGGCCAAGTTTTGATGTCTCGTTGACTTGGAAAGTCAGCTGCTTATTCTTCAGTTCTCCTGGATGTCTCTGCTCATCAGGTGAGCGTTGCTGTAAGGTGCGGGAAAATTGAGTCAATATGTAAATTTATTAAAATTGTTAAAATACCTCTTTACAGTTTATTCATCTGTTAGTACATTTTTGTTATCTCTGTCTATGAAAATCTACACAGGCCCAAATTTTATATTGTGAGTTTTTTCCCTTTCATTCTATCTTTCTCTTACTTTCTATGACATATATATGTGTATATACACCTGTATAAATAACACAACCTTGCTGCGGCCAGCTTTTAATGCTTCTGCATATATAGATGTGTAGAGAAGAAGCATTGCTACTATTTTAAACATAAAAAGCATTATGATATTGAGCTGATATCTAAGCTCTAAGAAATAATTGTACGAGTGTCTGCATCAGCTGTGCTGCACAAAGGAAAAGCAATTTTTTTTGTTGTTAGGCAGACATTTGTGTCCATTCCACTAACTAGATCATAGAATAATCCAATCATTGACAGAGGCTGAAATGCTTTGTCTGGCATATGTGATCTGTGGAATTGCCAGATGAAAACTGAAGTTAGAAACAGGAGTGCTGAAGTGGGGAAAAGCCTTTATTGTTTCTACCAATACATGAATTTCTTGTGGGTTTTCATGTACAGTGAAATGAGGCTTTGATAAGGGGATGATGTAAATTTGGTGCCTGTTGTTTGAGTTCTGTGTAAACAGGCAGATCTTCAGAAGGTCAACAAAAGACAACATTATGAGACAATGTTGCAACAAAGAATCTTTCGTAGTCTTGAGTTCAGTTTGTAGGTTTGACTTACGGTTCTTATTTGCTAGGATTTGCTTTTGAGCACCTTGGCAAACAGAAGGTGTTTATACAACAGGTGTAGTGCTGTCAGGAAAATTATTAACTTTCCCATGCTGGCCTGCAAATGTGCTCAACTTCAAGAAGCCATCTGGTAAAGATTGATTCAGCCTTCATGTGCATTTTGTCTTCTATCTGTCTGAAAATACACGGATTTTCTCCTTAAACTTTATGGTTACTTATTTATGCAAACAACAGCAAGCAGTTGGCTACCCAAATCGAATGAAGAGTCATGGGAGTGGAGTGGTCAATCCAATTTCAGTATTCTGAAATTGGCCTCTTTTATATGTTTCATTAAGCAATCAGGCCACTAAGGTGTTGGCATTTGCTAAATTTTGAGTGTGCATTTATGTAGTTAAAGAATTCATGGCAAACCAAGATCCTCTGCTGGGCTCTCCAGACAGATTTACTGTGGGCATCTGCGCAGGACCTCTGTCCTCAAACCTGTAAAACAGAGTTAATTCTTATTTCTCAGGGGTTTTGCATATGTAATTAATTACAAAGTGCTTCAAACTTCCTTTGGCTGGTGCCATTTAAACACTTTTTTTACTGTGCCTTTGGTTTTTTTCTTCTTAGTCACTGTGTGCCCAGTATTCTGCAGACAAGCGGGAAGAAGAAAAAATGTGTCATCATTTGATAACAGCAGCGAAGTACCGAGACCAGGTGACTGCAACACAACTAATACAGAAAATTATCAACATCCTGACAGACAAGCATGGAGCCTGGGGAAGCTCTGCACCAAG